GGATTCACGAAAAGACGCAACTGAAAATGGATCACAGAAATTCGTGAACCCCTACATGTAGGGGTTCACAAAGACCTTGTCCTTTGCGCAGTTGATGAGGGCGGGGCCAGCTGGGGGGGCGCACGGCGATGTGGGCTGTTAACGCGTTGGTGAGTATGTGCAGGCGTCCCACGCATGCTATTCACCGCTCGCTGCACGGGCGGCCGCAGGGGAGAGACTTGTGAACATGGTGCAAGGTAAGGGAAAGTGAAATGACTTGCTATTTTTGGACTCCGACTTTCGTGAACCCCTACATGTAGGGGTTCACTTTTTTGTCGCTATTTCGCCGCATTTTCGTGAACCCCGACATGTAGGCTTTCACTTTCTTCCAGCGAGGAGCCTTCCCTTTTCTTCGTAGTACTGAGAACGTAGCACTGAGAAATTGTCAAACAGATCACAGGTCCGCTTTATGAGCTCGGGCCGACCGGTCATCATCGACGCCGGTCATCATATGCATCGCACAGACGCCTTCTCATCGCCATCTTCTTCACCGCACAAAACGTCTTCTCCCTCCAGGTCGCCGAGATCCTCGGGGCATCTCGTGGGGTGTCTTCCAGACTTGTGCGGCGTTATCAAGTCCATGCTCCCGCGCACCGACCACTGGGCCGACCGCATACCCTACGCCCTCCAGTGGATGTGGCCCGTCCCCCTCCTTACCGGCGTCGCCCTCGCGCCCGAGTCCCCCTGGTGGCTCGTCCGCCGCGGGCGCCTCGAGGCCGCGAAGCACGCGTTGTTGCGACTCAAGAGTCTGGATCGGGAGACGGATTTCGATGCGGAGGAGACGATTGCGATGATGAGACACACGACGATGTTGGAGGAGAAGATTACGCAGGGGGCGATGTATTGGGATTGTTTCAAGGGCACGGATTTGAGGCGGACCGAGGTGCGCCTTTTTCTTTCCCTTCCCCTTCCCTCCCTGTTCTTCTCCCTGCCTTTACTTAAATTATTCCCATCGCCTCTCTTTACTCCCATCGCTGACATGTATGTGTGCGCAGATCGTGTGCATGGTGTAGGCGATGCCGAACCTCGCAGGCAACTCCTTCACGGGCTACAGCACGTATGTCCCCCTCCCTTCCCTCATTTCCCCCATTATTTTACCAACTCAATTTTCCTTTCTTCTTCCTCTCTCGCTCAACTCTCCTCCTCCCTCGCATTTCACGCTCTCCTCGCCCAGCTACTTCTTCGAACAAGCCGGCCTTGCCCCCGCCAAGTCTGCGACTTCGCGGGCAGTACGACATCAACATGGCCGGCGTTTTCGGCGCCTGGGCGCTCATGGCGCGCGGGGGATGGTGAGTCGGGGAAGGGGCGGGCGCGATACCCGCAGGGGGACGCCTCGGGCGCCGCAGGCAATCCCTTCGTTGCGTCCCGGCGAGCCGATGGAACTGCGCGCGGCGGGCGACCTCTCAAACGCCAACGAGGGAGTGTGGGGATGCAGCAGCGCATCAGGATATCGGAGCCAGTGCGGTACGTCCTTCGTCTTCCTTATCTTTCAGCTCTGATCATCGTCGGTTCTGATCATCGTCGGCTCGCATCCGTTATTGTCTGCCAACGCTGCACATCGTTCGCCGTTAGCGAAGTCGCGATCCCTCGACGCCGGCGAGGGAGGGTGATGCAACGCATCGCAATATCCGAACCATAGTGCAGTATGTCTTTCGTCCCTCTTATTCCCTTTCGCTCTGATCATCCTTGCATCCACAGCTTCTCTCGCGCATCTACGGCCATATCCTGCCGCTTTCGCGCACTGCAGGCGATCCCTCGGGTGCCGGCGAGGGAGGTGGTAGCAACGGATCGCGATATCAGAGCTATAGTGCGGTACGTCTGTCGTTCTTTCGCATCCTTTGGCTCTGACCATCCTTGTATGCGCGGTTCGCTACGGCCATCGTCTGCGCTATCCTGCCTACCGCGTCACCACGCCCGTACGCACGCTGGGTGAGAGATATCCAGACCGGCTTTTCCTGGGCTCATCCTGATGCGTTTCAGGGCTGCGATCCTCCACGTCGTTATTGTGCTCTCCTTGCTCTCTCTCGATGCCATTCCCATCGCAGAGGCAAACGCTGCAAACATGATCCTTGCGCGATCGCCGATTCCGCTTCTCAAGATGCGTACTAGAGTTCGCGCTATTATCCCCACACTCAATCCTGTCCATATCTCCAGGCAATCGCGTTCTCTCCCTCTCATATCGTCACGCTCTGAATCGCCCACCGACCCCAACCTTGCGTCTCACTGGAGATGCTTCGCTTCCCTAAAAAATTGGCCACGCCCCAGCGTTGTTCGCGCGAGGTGCGTCCGCTGTCAGGGGGATAATGCTTCTAATTCGGCTCGAGGCGGTCGCCCGTCCGCGTCTTCGCTTCTTGCACTTACCGCATCCATCAACTCCGACACCGACACTCCGTTTGGATATCCTCGTTAACAACACTCTCACCTTTTGCTCACCCTGCAACACCGCGCCCTTGGTCGTCAACGTGGACTATTGCTTATTTCATCTCTCTATCTCGGCTCAGGACTGCACACGCTCTCTATCCCCGCTCGCACAGCGCTTCTGCTCAAGGCCGATGCAGATGTACGCTCCGTTCTCGCGATGAGGTTCAAGTCCCGCGTCCACCTTCGAGCCCTTCAAATCCACGGATTCATGTTCAAGTCCACGTGCTGCGTCCCTAGCTCCACCAAGTCCTTGTGTGCGTCCCTGCCCCAGCAAGTCTTGCGTCCATCTCCCCTTTGCCATGCCATTCCGACTTTCATTAGAACCTAATTTATTATAAATTCTATGTACAGTATTGATTATGGTTCGGTATTGAATTGCAATCTTATCCGTGTTTTATTTCCCTGCGATCCTGGGTTTCATCTCTGAGCTTGAAATCGACTTTGAAAACCTTCGCGGAGCTCGACCTCCTCTTCGAGAAGGGCGTCAGCGCGCGCAAGTTTGCGAGCACGGGCGTCGATGTGTTTGACGACGTTCACGGATCCAGTGCGGGGAAAGGGGATAAGGGGGATGGGGAGGGATGGGGAGGAGGGGTAGAGAGGAGGATTGACTAGGCGGTGGATGAACATCGTATCTTTCAAGGAGCTAACGACAAGGTTGTGTCGAGGAAAGAGTTGGGCGTGTTTTGACAACGACGCGACGCGATGCGATGCGATGAATGAGATATACCTCTTTTTAAAAACTTTTTTGGTGTGGATTTGGATCTGCATTTGTTTTGGGAAGTTGGGAAACCGCCGAACCCCGTCGTGGGACATCTTGTGGTTCGAATGGAGACGACGCGTGTAGCGTACATCACCGGTGCGGGCATTCGTGGGGAGTGGAGCATGGAGATGTGGGCGTCTTTGGTGGATGTCTGAGAACCTTGAAGGAAAAAATAAGTAATGCACCGGCTGTGAGTTGAACCCCGTCTCACCCCTGAATTGCTTCTTTGCTCTCAGAAAATAGGCGGGTGTACCATATATGTACCACCGGTGCGCTCTCCTGCTGGTTTCAACCTCCGTAGGTGCACTATATTTTCTGGATTCACTAAAAAAAGCTCCCGAAAGACGACAGTATGCGCCTGTGGGCCGTCTTGCCTGCGACATATTGTAAAAACATCATCGGGTCGGCGTGTGCACTCCCTTCAGTTTCAACCTCGGTCGGTGCACTACCCTTTCCTGTCTTTGAACAGAACAATGAAAATATGGTAGTAAGCTTCTCCTGCGGTGCACCAGTGGGGACCGTCCCGCCCTCGAAAACTATCGTGGTAAATGATCGGTTCGGCGTGTGTACTACCATACACCACTGGTGCGCTCTCTTCCTACTTCGAAGCTTGTTAAATGTAATGTATTTCTCCATAAACACCGGACGATCAAACAATAACAAAGAATCGCCCCACCGGTGGGGAATCGAACCCCTTTCACCGCTAGAATTCTCCTATTTCGGTCACGGATCGCATAGTGTGTACCATACACCACCGGTGCACTCTGCGTCTGTGTTTTCCCTTGCCAGGTGCGTTACACTATTCTATATTTCCAACGGAATGAATAACAAGATGCGCAAGAATGCACAAGCGGGGAGAGGGATTGGAACACCCATACAAGGACGGCGTACTATGATACACCACTGGTGCGCTATCCCTCTCGTTTGCTCGTCCTTAGGTGTCTTACATTCTCAGGATTCACTCATGGAGCTTTCAAGAAAATCTGGACTCCAGAGAATTATGGTTATGCAACAGTGGGGAATCGAACCTCGTCTCGCCTTTAATGTCTCCAGGTGCCACAAGGTCGGCATGTGTGCCATACACCACTGGTGCTTATTTTTGCACTGCTAGATGCGTTACACTTTCCTGCATTTCCAATAGAATGAATCAATAGTCTTCTGCATTATCAATGGAATGAATAAAAAGCTGTTTTGCACAAATTCACCAGTGGGGAATCGAACCCCGTCTTGCCTTTCACGATCTGCATCCATTTCATGAAGTCGGCGTGTGTTCCATGCACCACCGGTGCTTATTCTCTGCAATTTCAACTAACTTCTTTAAGTGCAATACATTCCGGCAGATTTATCCCATGATGCAATGAAAGCAGGGAGACAGCCCAACACGCGGTTACTCATGGTGAGTGGTGCCTGGCTATGTGTAGATGCCTGGAATTCTGAAGAAGAAAAAAGGGAGGAACTTAAACAACCAATGTACCGGGAGGAGTTGAACATTGAACCCCCGCTAAAGAATGGACGTGTACCGAACACCACCGACGCGCGTATTCGATGAGAGTGGCTTGGCCACTTGGTTATATGAACGCTAAATATCCTGGACATGAAAGAGAGAAAACGATTCGAAGCATGGATCATCGTGCACCGGCGGGGAGTCGAGCCCCTGAACGAGAACTGTGGCCTTGTGGATACGACGCATGTACCATACACCCCCGGCGCGGGTATGTGCGCGTCTTGAGAATACCTGAGAGAGACTTGGGAAAAAAGGCGGCGAATAATCACGAATGTATACACCGGTGGGGAGTCGAACCCCGTATCATCGTTGAACGGGAACACCCCAAAGTATGAAGACGATGCGTGTACCGTACACCACCGGCGTCGGCATTGGAAGGCAGTGGTTCCTGGCTATGTGGGCGTGTTGAGGAATTACTTCCGAGACTTGGAAAGAGAAATCGACAGTGAGATTAGCGAACAACTGTTCTGCGGAAAGAGAAAGCATCGGGTTTCCAACGGCTGGGCAGAGGGAGTATCCCGCGGCATGCGAGCGAAAACTTGACCCCCGGTCGGATGAGTTGTTAAATCCTCGCAGGCAGGAGTCAGCCCTGAGGGACCCAGGACTTACTGGATTATATCACTCCATTCTCATCTTTCCGCTCGAGTTAAGCACTCGAGACAACGGCCTGCCAACTTGTGTTCTCAAAATCCATTTCAAGCTCGGAGATGAACGTTAGGAACGGGAAATGGGAATGGAAACCACCACGTTGACATAGTTCGCAGATCGCAGCGTAGTACTTGCAAGACCGGCGTCGAAGACCCGGATAAGATTGCAATTCAGTACCGAACCACAATAAATACTGTACATAGAATTCAAATCAAGTCCTAAGTACCGAAAGTCGGAATGGCGTGGTAACGAGGGGAGATGGACGCAAGGACTTGATGGAGCTGGAGACGCACGTGTGGACTTGAACATGAACCGAGTGGATTTAAACATGAAACGCATGCGTGGACTTGAACATGAGCCGGCGCTGGATTTGAAGAGGACGCGGGACTTGAACCTCATCGCGAGAACGGGTGGTACGTCGGCCTTGAGCGCCTAGAGCGGAAGCGTGGTGCGCACGGGGATAGAGAGCGCGTGCACTGTCCTGAGCTGAGATGGAGCGACAAACCAAACAGTCCAAGTTGGATCTGCGAAGTTGGGTGTGGAGGTGAGCGGAAGAGTGGGAGTGTTGGCGATTAGATGAGTGCGTTATTGGAGACGATGGCGTCGATGAATATGGTGCAAGAAAGAACGACGCGAGGCGAATTAGAAGCATTATCCCGCTGTGAGCGGACGCACCTCGCGCGAAGAACCTGGGGGAAAATTAAATTCTCAATACAGTCGAAGCTGTCATAACCCATAATTGAGATAACCCATAATCTGTGAAACCCCATACTTTTTGAGAGGATTTTCTCCAATTTTTGGCTGGGATAACCCACAACTCTGCAATACCCCATACCTTTTTGTGTCCACCATCCAGTATGGGTTAAGACAGCTTCGACTGTATATTGCGAAATGGCCAAGACCCATTGGCGGTGCGTCGCCTTTTTTCGGAAGCGATATATATCTCCGGTGAGGCGCAAGGTCGGCGTCGGTGGGCGATTCAGAGCGCGACGATATGAGAGGCTGAGGAAGAGACTACCTGGAGATGTGGATAGGATTGAGTCCGGGGCAAACCCAAGCACGCACCTAACGATCAAAACAAGCCCAGGGATCGCGTTTGCAACGTATGCGTCCGGCCATCTTGAATGAAAGAGCCTCAACGACGGTGATGCGGACTTGCGCGAATGCAAGTGAAATGGAATCGAGAGGTCGGAGGGGGAGCACGGCGTTGGGTATCGCAAAGGAAAGTCAGTCTGCGAGTGATGAAACGAAGTCAGCAAGCAAATTGCACGCTCGGAATAACATCTTTTACCTCATCGCGAGGACTACTAGTAACGTACGAGCACGGTGAGTGCCGTTGGCGGAGACGATGGCGTGGAAGTGGAAGGGAGACGATGGTGGCGCATGGAGGATGATCAGCACGAAAGAATGAGAAAGACGAAAGACATGATGTACTATAGCCCGACATCACGATGTGCTGCTCCCCCCTCCCTCGCCGGCGCTTGAAGGACTGCCCGCGGTGGCCGAGGGCGACAGGTTGGCGGAGACGATGGCCGTGGATGCGAGATGACCTGTGGATACAAGGATGATCAGAGCAAAAAGGAATAAGAGGAACGAACGACATACCGCACTGGACATCGTGACGCGCTGCCTCCCCGTATCCCCCAGACTGCCTCGCCGGCGTTTGAGGGGTCGTTCGCAGCGCGCGGTTCCATCGGCTCGCCGGGGGCTCACGGGGAGGGGGCTGCCTGCGGTGCCAGGGGGGGATCCATCGACGGGAACTCGCAAGGAAGAAATTCCCTGCGGCGGCCGAGGCGACCCTCTGCGGGGATCGCACAAACTATAACGGTCTTGCGGTAACCGTAGCGCTCCGAGACGTACCCGTTGATGAAGAGCCCGAGGATCTCGCCGACATTCGCGCCGTTCTTCAGCCCCGCATGCCAGGAACGTCCCGTCCGCGAGCTGCTCGCCGTATTTGCGGTTGAACTGCGGGAAGACGTCTGTGTGCGGATGCAGGGGTAAGAAAAGGATAGGTGGAGTAGGAGAGAGAGACACGCAGACATTGGAGACTCGGAGGAGACAAACGTCGTAGCCCTCCATGCAGATGCACATCTGTAGAGTAAACTGACAGGGGAACGGCGCAATACAACGGGAAGACCCCGAGGGACGGTTACGGACTGGAGGTAGTAGTACGGGTACAAACGTGCAAGCGAGTACACTACTGATGCTATGTATATATAGTACATCAGGAAAATCTGAAATTCTATATAGATGTGGCAGTGGCTATCCAGAGCTATGATGGTCTATAACGGACTATGCACATACCGCCAGTCTATGTAGGTCTCTCATGTGCTTTGGGTGTCTATAATCCACACCCCATTGCTATAATTGCCTATGTCAGACTTTGAGATTGGGTTACAACTATCAGCCATTGAATTGAAACCGTCAGCAGTTTGAGTGAACTCAGAGTTTCGGGCCTGCTAAAAAAACTCTGAGTCATGCATATTTACTGTATGCTTAGAACATGGAACTTGCATGAATTTTTAGCAAGCAGGTAAGCATTCACACCAAGTACTGGCCAGCGTAGATGCTAAGCACAGTTTGGATTTTTCGGACTTAGAAAAGAAAAAAGGAACTCCCGAGTCCCACGGATCTTGCGCGGCGTCATCGGTAATCCATCGCCGAAAGTTTGCCGAGTCCGACAGATCCGTCACTTCAGATCAAACAATAGCAACACCAAACTTTGATCTTGCCACGTCGTCGTCTTTCTTCCTTTGCCCCCCTTCTCTCCTCTCATCCCTCTTCTCGACTCAAGATCAGAATCCCTGCTCGTCTGCAGCAACTCAACATATGTTTCCCACATGCTTCCCCTTCAAGTTTACGGTCCAACTTGCCCTTTTCGGTCCGTCAAGGCACCTCCATACGGGTGGCTTGTGACTTTGCGCGGCCAAGATATCATTTCTACCGCAAGAGGACTCTGGCCCTAACCCTCAAGTGCTTCCTATCAAGCCTCCCTCAAGTTTATTCTCGTTTCCCTCGGCAACTATCGACGATATGCTTCTCAAGATCGCCGTCTCCCGCCGCACTGCGTGTTTCTCTTGTCTATGTTCAAGATCTTTACATGCAAGATCTCTGTATGCCGGACGGGACTATTACATCCTACAGCTAGTCGACACGTCGCAACTTGGGGGTTACGCGGGGTTAGGTGGATATATATATTTACTTCGGATGTCTACTTCATATCTTATGCAATATAATATTGTTCGTGCATATATCCCTGTGTCTTCTGATTCCTGAGAAGGATATGAACTATGAGAGTTATGCTGTCTACGATGTCTAGCCGACTATGATAGGTCAAGTGGTGTCTATGGTGGTCTATGCCAAAAAAACCGCCCCTCCCACGTGTCTACCATAGACATGTGTTTGCTTTCGCGTCTATGGATATTATCATGGTCCATCCGGGTCTCTCTGGCAGCTTCAGATTTTCCTGATGCTACCACTATGCGCACGGACCATGACGTTGATGAGCGCGTAGCCGCTCGTACCTCCACGGAGATAAATCTCCACAACATCGAGATGAGGATGCTCTGCGCCACGGCCTTTGGGTATAGCCGCAACCCCTGCAGCAGCGACATCTAGTGCTCCTTGTCCATCGCCGACTGTAAAAAAAAATCAAAATCAGAAAGAAAAAGCGGATAGGAGCTATGCCACAGACCTTCGCGTTGGCGGTCATCTCTCCCGCAGCAGCATCCTTCTCGTCGATGTGGTGGGTGTCATCAAAGTGGAGGAGAGCAGGGGACGCCATGGGGAGCCTCCAGAATGGCACGGGTGGTATTTATAAAGAAGAGTGTCTACGTCACGCTGTCGCAGGCGTTGTTGCGCCTTGTGGGGTCGTGTGATCGATCACCGGTGATTATAGGAGGTAAATGTACAGAAATATACCCCTATAAGTGAGTTACCCCAGGAATTCGAACCCGAACGGATCACTCTGTGTACCCTTTTCAACATGCCAACGATGTGGGGTGATTACTTCACACCTGTCTGTGATCGAATTGCAAGGGTTGCTTCCTCAATCAGGATCCCCACCTTCCTGTGGCCTGTCTGCCTGTGTAGATATTGAATTCAGAATTGCAAGTTTGCAACAAAATTGCTTCCTCAATCGGGAGGATCCCTCACGGCGCGAAAGTGTCGGTACATCGCAATCATCGATCACCTCAGGATCTCCTACAGTTCAACGAGCTACAGGGATGCAGCGCCAATTCTGCAGAAAATAAGATGAACCTACGAAGAGTTTGGTGTATCTCACTGACAAATTGATCTAGAATTCCAATCGGTTCGGTGGGTGTACCATACACCATCAGTGCTCTCTCTTCTTATTTTCACCCCAGTACATTTTATTGAATTCAACTGATGATGCAATAAAAAATGAAACGAAACACAGCGCCAGCAGGAATCGAACCCCGTCTCACCATTGGACAAGTGCACCGGGCCTTCATCGAATAGGTGTGTGTTCCATACACCACCGGTGCTCTCTGCGTCTATTTTGAACGTCGTAATGCGTGATACATTCTCATGGATAAATTATAAGAAAAACAGTAATACTATGCTCATACGCCAGCGCCAATGAACTCGGTAGTTGCCCACAAGGTTGGGGTACTGTATGTATCACACTACTGGTGTACTCTGCTTCTACTTTGAAACCACATAACCTCTGGTTAGGATTTTGGCAGATTCATCGG